CATCCATTTCCTGGCAGCTGAAGAAAATGAATTCTTGTATTTCTCTATCTCACTAAAACAAAATGCTATTCAGTATGTTCTTAAATTTGTTCAGGACAAGAGTAAAGTGTATCAAAGGAACGCGGAGAGAATTTGAGGTCTTACCCACAAGGGAAGCTAACATAAATGTCAAAAACACAATTTTACTTCTCTAAAGCAATTCTGTTTATAAAACTACCGTACTTATTGTATACCACAAGGCTACTAGAATCAGTAGCAGTTATTAATGTAAGCCTTATTTGTGGTCTGGAATGAGCAGTTCTCCCTGCAGCTCACAGGTGGAGTGAGGTAGGGAGGTAGAACTACCTCACAACCAGGAAGACTAACTTTTCCAGTATCATTTTAAAAAGCACGTACTTTGCAATTTTAAACCGATTCAAAAACTGAACTGTATTTCCCACTTCTCAGATGTTCTCCATGTGAACTGCCTGTGGGGATCTGTCTGAAGAATGGCCACAGAAATGATAAAAACAGCTTCTTGGTATCTAAAGGTGTTTGTAGGGTGAAATATTTTTCAGCGTATCAATTTCAGTGTTTGAACTAGGCAATACAGGAATGATGAATTACTGTACTATTGTTGGGGCTTAGGTGTAAAATAATATGGTTTCAATGCCTCTTTTTATTTGTTCAGCTACACAGATAGTATGCCAGTACTAGATTTCTTTTGCAAGTAAGTGATGCTGTGAAGCATTTCTACTATCACAAGGATCTGCTTCACCTGCCAGTCAGTGAAGGCAATTCATCTGAACTTTGTTAGGTGCTGCTCAGCATGATGTAATACAGTATAAGCAGACATTTCCCCCTCTTTGAAATAATGGGATGGCTAAGGGTGCTCCAGTAATGTCTTAGGACTGCTACTTGGGTACTCTTCTTTCTGATTCAGCGGGAGGTGTGTCAGGACTGTCTTCTTCAGCTGGAACCAAACTGTGCAGGCAACTCCAGAATCACTGAAACAAGCAAAGGGGCAGAACTATAATTCTGGATATATGGTTCTCTTTTATAGGACTCTAATCTGGAACAAACTGGAGCATGTCCAGAGGAGAGTTGCCAAGTTGGTGACTGGTCTGAAAACCAACCCTAGGATAAATAATTAAAGGATTTGTGTAGGGAGTAAGGAAGATAATGTTGACAAGCTAGGCCAGAGCCATTACCAAAGTGGACAAGGGAAAAAACATGGTTTAAGTCCAAAACTAGAAGGAGGTACTGCATGTGTCAGCAAATCAGGTCGTCCCTTTCCTAGTTCACCTGAATATAAGGGGTGGGATGATAAAGCACAGTTAGACTTGCAAAATTCTATTACTATTGCCAATATTAATAAAAATAGTTTAGGCCTTTTTGTGGAATTGATTTCTTGGTTTGGTCTAGAGTGTGGCTGACAATATGATATTTACCTTAAAGCAAAGATGACTGGGGGAAGATAGCTGTCTTCAAATAGCTGAAGAGTTGTCACAGAACCAGTAGAATAAGCTACAAAGAAAGTAAGTTCAGGCTAAATACTGGGAGGAATTGTCTGATGTTGCAAACTTTAGCCACTGGAACAGTCTGCCTAATGAAGTGATGAGTTCTTTCACTAAAAATGAAACCAACTTCACGGTCCTGTCAGAGTAGGGCATTCTGTCCTGAGCAGAGTTGGACTAAGTAACATCTGAGGTTTCTTTCAACCACACCATTTTGTAATATCAATCCACTTACATGAATCCATTGCAAGAAACATCAGTTTTTACACAAGGAATATAACTGCACCTTCTAGAACTGAGTACTTCCATGTTTCTCAATGGATGAAAACATTTCCCTTAGCCAATAACTCAAATATTAAAACTATTGATTAGAAGTAGAGCCTCTATGATTATGAAAGAAAAAGAACACCCGTAGGTTAGCAGTTTCTTGAGTGATTAATTAGTCTGGGGAAAGATTGTTATTGAAGAATCTAAAGGAAAGTTTCATATGAGTCATAATCAATACAGCAGTTTAGTGGTTTTGCTGTTAATAATGGATGGCACTTTCCTTCTTGTCCTTTTAAAGTCGAGTCTCTCATGTACTGAGCTTGGCTCAAAAGGACTAGATGGACATGCCTATGTTGGTTTATTGGCTTGCCCTTGCCTTCTTTTGTGACATGTCCCCATTTCTCAATCTAGTCTATGGCTCTGGCATCCTGATTCTCTCCCAACCAAAAACTAACCCAGTCTGACACAGCTTAACTTTTTCAAGAACAACCAAGTTTGGCTGAGTATTGTATGTGCTGTAACTGAACTTGTATCTTTAATGGTAAAACAAAATATCCATTATTATAATGAAAGACAGCCTAAAATGACTAAATTAAGGGAACCTTTTTCATATTTCAACATGCTGGGAAAAATGTGTTCCCTGGATTTGGGAAATACCATATTCCTGATAAAACGCATATGAAAAAAGGCAATAAAACCAAACCTAGATGACATGGAAACCCGAATGGAAAATTCTAAATCTAGTAATTGGAATAGCTACTCCAACATTTACCTGCAAACCTGACAAAATAAACACGCTAGCCTGGAGGAAGGGGGGGGAAAAGGCTGTTAATGTTCTTTAGCGTCATAGCATGATTTAACTAGATATTATAATCTGAAGGTTAAGGCCTGTAGTTTTAGAAAGTAGAATAGCTTTAACTGTGGACTGCAAATCTCAGTTTGGAAGTTTCAGAACTTAGCTGAAGGACTCCTACCTTTCCATCACTTGTACTTCAGCTGAACACTATTTTGTATTAAGTAAAAGGGAGTAAAATGTGTGAGAAAACCCCATAGCTGCTAATTCCTCAATGATAGCCAGGGTAAAGGCTGGTTCTGCTGCAATTTAGTTGTATTATTACTTGTATAGGTAAAATACAGAGGAGAAATGTGAATTTAGATATTTAGGAATTTTCACCTGAAAGGTGCCAAATTGGACTGGTTGAACCATCATTGGGGACAATTTGTTGAAAGCAACCCTTGACCAAGATATCAACTGATTACCCTGAGCCAAACTTAGTTTCTGAGTTTAATTTGCAAAGATAGTTATGAATATTAAAAAATGGAGCAGGGCACCCAGGATATATCTCCCTTGTGGAAGATATCTAAAGTAAATATTTCTGATAAAATATACAAGTCTGAAACTATGCCATTCGAACCAATCACTTCTGCAGTTTATCACATTTTAATTTCTCCCTTCCACAAGGAAGATACTGGATAGCTTGGGTGCCCTGCTCCATATATTTATATTCATAACCATCTTGCAAATTAAACTCAGACTAAGATTGGCTCAGGGTAACCAACTGATATCTAGGTCAATGGTTGATTTCAACCAATGCTCCCTGATAGTTCAAGTATGGCTCAGCCTCCCCAAATGGGATGCAATATAGTTGTGCTAAAGATGGGAAATGCAGTCAATACATCTGAATGGGACCAATAATTACAGGGACCTGTTTTCGCCAAAGGACAGAATTGTTTGCAGAATATGCGAACGATAGGAATGAAAAAGTGCTCCTATACAAAACAATGATAACAAAAGAGAATGTACCGGTAAGTATTATCTAAACTTTAAAAAGTATTATTGTGATGTATATTGTTTAAAAAAAAAACAGAATTTAAAGTAGACTTTTTGTGATCCAGTTTGTGATTTTTTTTGTAATTTATGTAAATAAAGTGCTTTTTTTATTACTGAAGTGTTGAATCATGAGACGTTCTTACACAGGGGTACCAGACTTCTAGCAAAAGGAGGACATGCCTTCCTTTTTGCCCCCATGTCTACTTTCCAAAAGTCATAGCCTTAAAATCAAATATTGGTCAAGCAACTCCTTACCAAGTGGGTCAGTTTACAAGCTCATTGCTACCTGGTCCCTTGCCTGCTGCCTTAAATTGACAAGACCGTAATCGGTTTCAGACCCAACACTTTTGCTTCCTAACTAGCTCTAGCACATTGCTGAGACTGAAAACCGGACTTTCTCTTTTATTTATTTTATTTAAAAACATTCATGTAGCACCCCCGTCTTATACTGAACTCTAGGTGGTTCCCAATCGACAATTAAAACATCAATAATAAAACAAAATACATATATGTATTAAAACTGTAAACATTAAAAACCTGACACCAAATTTAAGCCTCCACATGCAAACCATTGTTAAATTTTCTCATTCACTTCACCCTACCTCAGCACTTTGGCTGAGGTAGGTCATTGGTCTAGATATCAACTTACGCCAGGGCTTAAGTCCTTTTCTAGAGGCTTGCCGAACACCAAGGGGAAAGGCTTTGGTGCCAGGTTTTTAATGTTTATGGTTTTAATACATATATGTATTATTGTATTGTTGATATTGTTTTAATTGTTGACTGGGAATTGCTCTGAGTTCGATATAAAATAGGGAGCTATATAAACGCTTTAAAGTAAGCAGAATAAGACCGGTTCTGATGCTGGAAAAAATAATTTCATAGACATGTAGGCCCAAGTACATCTTTTTGCACTTTTTCACTGTAATTATTGTTGAAGGCGCTAAGTAAGTTAAAACAGTGTGTCCTCTGCCCACCCACCCCGCTTTGTGTTCTCCTTTCTAATCATCCATGACAGTCATCAAACACATTTTTCTTACTTCAGGTTTATACTTCAGGGTAGAAGGAAATATAAGTCCTAGTGAACAATTCTTGTCTTCTTCTAATAAAATGCATGTAATTGTATTGTTAATTCCCAAATAGAGAATATGGAGATCATAAAACCACTATTGCCAGAGTAGATTTGAACTGCCAAAGATTACAGAGCTTGAAATAAGATGCCTTGCCTGACTCAGAAAAAGTCTGACACTGTACAGAATGGCGGAGGTAACACAAAATGCTAATTCAAGACCAAGGAAGCCATTTTATGGCTTAACGCAAAATGTTTCCGTTTCCAGAAGAGCATTAGATTGGTGTGACTGATCCATACAGTGAAATAAAAATGAAACAAAATCAAAATGAGCTCTAAGTTCTAGAAACACAAGATAGCTTTAATATATAATATATAAGATAGTTCATGAAACATGAACAAGATTTGCAGAAAGAAAGTATTAGGAGACTTCAGGCGGTTTCTGTGAATTGCCTGCTATGGTCTTCTTGAGTGGGATAATGCAAACACTATTCTTGGCTTCTTTAATCCTCCACCAACGACCCAACCTGAAATACAACCCAGAAAAAAATAAAGTATATGCTTATGAAACATTCTGTTGGTTGGCTTGAATAGGAATTCTACAAAAGGGCTGAAGGAAATTTTACTCCACCATTCATATACACTAGCAGTTATTCTGTAAAATGTACACATTTCAAAAAAAAAAAAAAAAACCTCCAAAAATTTATAATAGGACAAACAATAAGACACTGACAAGGCTGGAATTAAAAGTTTTAATACAGTTCTTTCTTCCATGTAGTTTCACAGCAGGGTTTTACATTTCAACCCCCAAATCTGGAGAAGGCAGTCAATTTCACACCTCTTATTGTTCTCTATTCTGAATGAAAGCTCTGTTTTGTTTTGTTTTGATCCTTGCAACAAAAAACCCCAGGATTACCTACAATTTGGTATTAATGCACAGGAGAGCTATCTTATGATTAGCTAAGTCAGGGTACTAAAGCAAAGGAAGTAACCTCTCTGCCCTGCCCAAATTTCTTCCTGTTCATAATAAATGTTTTGCTCCAAACAGAAATCCCTATTTGAGAGTTCATCAGCATTTGCTATATAATCACCTGCCAGTGGCACTTCCAGGAACAATTTCTACTAAAAAAATTTTTTCGGCAAGCCCAAATCTCAATACTGTATCTATGTTCTCAAAAAACCCTGGGGGAACAAGACTAGGATACTTTTTAACAGAGTATATTCAGCCTTGAATCCGGGAGAGAATACAATGGAACTTCAGGTTGCGAACACTTCTGTTTGCAACCAAATTGGGTTCTGACAAAAAAATCCATCCGATTTTTGAATCGGGTCATGATTCAAAAATCGGGTGGCGAACAAACCCAGCACGGCAGATTCTTTTTCCACACCAATTTCTCCTTCCGCACGTGTACAGTCTGTGCAAATTTTTATCTGTGCATGCGCAGTCGGTTGTGTTTCCCGTCACAACCAAAACGGGTTGCGACCGTAGTCCTGGAACGGATTACGGTCACGACCAGAGGTTCCACTGTATGTGTAAAGGCTGTTTGCCAATGTAAATGGAATTCATTTGCACATACCTGTGTTCCTGTCCGACTCCAGCAACTAGGAAGTTTCCAGAATTTGCAAATTTCAAGCTATTAACAAAACCAATCTGAAAAACACCAAACCAAAATATATTTTTTTAAAATGTGGTAATTGTTTCCCCCCCCCCTGCTATGCTGCCTGGGAAGTTTGGAAGTCTTAATATATGTATAGGGGTCCACACTGGAGGAAGTCTGCTTTCTGCCATTTCTATCACACTAAATGTTAATTTTTAAGTCTTTGACCTCTACTTGGATAGTGACAGAAATAGATTTTCCCTCTGCAACCATAAGGAGTCAGTCGACTACATGGATCCCAGTTATGAGTTGCTGGAAATTTGAAAAAAGATACATGTGAAGTAAGAATGGGGAAACTTTTCATCTGAGTTACAGTGTTGAAGGCCTCCTGCTCCATCCCATTCGCTAGATGCTGGGACACTCCTTTTCTAGCTCAAGACCACAGTGCAGCAACCTGCAACCTATAGGCAACAGCCACTAAAGGATTGCAGGTGATCTGCAGACACCTGTTTTCTGTATCAGGCTAAGTGCTCCTGACTGCCCAAAAGGAAGTCTTGGGGTCTTAACTATTGGATTATGCTGCAATATGGATTAACTTTCATGAGTTATTGAGAAAGAGCTCATTTATACCCACAACTGATCATTAAAGTAGATGCCTGTAATGTTCAAAGCATTTCATCTATGCTGTGTAACTTTGGATTCCTTAGGAAGATCCCTGGAACAGTTAAATCTGTGATAGAAAGGGAACAAACTGAGAGAAAAGTGTAACTAAAACTAACAAGGCAAGTCTTGCTTAGAGTTCCCAGGTTCACTCCACCTGCAATAACTCCCCAGTGTTATTTCCTCTTGCTCCACCTGTTTTTTAAACTACTTTAATATGAATCTCAAGCTAGAAAAGTTTAACTGGAAGTTAAGCCCACGGCTCAAAGTAGCTTCCTCACCAAGGGAATCTCAAAGAGGAGTTCCAACTTCCGAAATCCTTCTCCACATTTCCACAATTTCACACTGTTGCTGTGGGAACCTGCCAAAAGCAGAGCATATAATGTTTTTAAAATGTCCACATTCAGTCCGAAGGCTTTAAGAAGTCTAGCTCAGTGACACATTCCTATTTCTTCAAGTGAGGCTCTTGAAGAATCTAGAGCTAGAGATCAATGGATAACTCTCAATTTAACTTTTATCCTTCCTAATGTAAGATATTATTATAACTATTGCCATTATTTTCTAAAACGATGCATGTTAAATAAACATGTTAAATAAACTTTAGTATACAGTATACTATACACAAACAAACAGCACATAATTCTAAAAAGAAGGGGGCCACACTTCTATGAACTGAATATGGCCCAGGCCAAAACCATATTTTAATGTATTTATTTAAAAATTTTTTACCTCCCATGTATTTAATAATTTTTTCTTTCTGATAGCTTAAGAATGATAAGTCAGCAGTAAATTTTGGGGGCAATCTTGTGGCTACTCCCATGGCTGTGGGAAGTGCAAGAATATCAGGTTATCAGTCTGTGCTTAATAGGAATAAACTACTGATTCAAGTTTATAAATCTAAGCATTTATCTAAAACTATACTTATCCTCTGACATCAAGACCAAGACATCAAAGCCCTGGTGGTACAGTGATTAGAATGCAGTATTGCAAGGCTAACTCTGCCCACAGCCTGGAGTTTGATCTTGACTGGCTCGAGGTTGACTCAGCCTTCTATCCTTCCGAGGTGGGTAAAACGAGGACCCAGATTGTTGGGGACAGTATGCTGACTCTGTAAACTGCCCAGAGAGTGCTGTAAAGCATTATGGAGTGGTATATAAATCTGGCAAAAGCTGAAACTGCAAAGTCAGAGCAGTGAATGCCTCTAAATATCATTTATAAATATCTTGGAATGTCCTAGAAAGACTGCTGGAAATCAGAAGATTGTTTAAAAAATATGGTGACAGGGCAATCATATACATGTCTATTTAGAAGTAAACTCAAAGTACTTATACATATGATTTTTCCTAGAACTATATAAAGGATTTTAAGCTAAAATGCTGTGCTGTTTTTTTCACTAATGTCAGAAAAAAAAGAGCATCATCCAGTTTCTCAGCCCCAAAGGCAAGCAGAAAAGGAAGACAAATATCTCTTGGTACCTGTAGCTACGAGGTCACTGTTCAGCAAACCAGCAACTGAAGATATCCAAAATGGCTGTTCCAGGCCCTGTGTGCCATGAAAACCATGGGCATGCTTCACTACTTTCAGTGGTTTCTTTTTGGAGAGACCCCAGAGGGCAACTGACCTTGGAAACAAAATCACAATCATTACATATCAGGTGGAAATCACTTGTTTTTACTTTTACTGAGTTATAGTTTCAAAGTATACTCACCCATCATCTGCACCAGATACCATATGCTCTTCATTGATGAGCTGGATGCAGTCAATCGAACCTCTAATGGGAAAAAGAAAAGCATACTTACAGCTAATGAGCCAGCAATGCAAATACTCCAGCCTCCTAGTAATCTATCTACACTGTATGCTTCAGAGCATTTCTTTTTTACAATGAAAGACACTCAATATTTCAACTACATATTTATTGTACAAAAGGTGAAAAATGCAAGATCTCTCTAATGTTCCCTTGATAGAAAGCTCTTCTACCACGGAGATGAAGCATTTGAATAACATCCATTCAGCCTAGAAAAATCATCTTCAACTAGGAAATCTGCAGCACTCAGTAATTTGTTCTATATCCTCTAGAGCCCCCCCATGACTATATTGCAAAACACTGTGTTCCTAACCTTTAGCAAAACTAACCAATAAACAAGCTCCAAATATTGGGCATGACTGTGCATACTTTAAAAATGATTCAGAAGAGGTTCTTCAGCGCATACGGGAGTCAAAAAAGCTTTCACACAAGCCTGGAAGAAACGCTTCAGCTGCTTTAAAGAGTTGCACTTCTAAATTCTCATTTTTAAATCATGAACAGCGCTGGAAAAGTTTTAGAAAGTGATTTCTGACTTGCAAAAAGTAGGCCTGTCCCCATTTCATGAGATACTTTTTTTTGTGCTGCAGAGTATAAAGATTATCTTTCGCCAGAGTGGTCATTTCATGTACTAAAAGTGATTCACGTTCGCATAACAGGTAAAAAATCACATGGATTGGAGAAACTATCAGTCTGTTGGGAAAGGTTCAACTCAAAAACAGTTCTTTCCTGACCATGCCATTTCCTCTTCTAGTTCTAGTACTTTGCTTCATCTCACTTCATATCGGATCTCATCTCATTCTTACAATTCCCTCAACCTTCTCAAACTGCTTTGGATGGAGACATAGGATGACTGCAACATGAAGTTATAGATTCACCCAGTTCCAAGAGAGGATGAAAAAGAAGTTCTTTAAAAGATCTAAAAAAAATAATCAAATTATTTTTAGATCTAAAGATAATTTGATCAAATAAATTAGAACTACAGCTGACCACAGTCTAATTTCAAAAAATTCAATCATCAATGCATTTAGTTTTGACAATAACAGAGATGCAACAAAGCACAGTGTGGTAGCTTATTATTCTTCTGTAATACGCTGCATATAGATTTCTCTTTCTGATACAATACACTTGTAAAAGAAGCCTGAATAGACAATGATTCTCACACTTACTGGTGTCCATAAAACACAAGCTGGGACTCCTCAGCGATTTTCCAGATTCTGACAGTGCCATCTCTCCCTCCTGATGTGACACAGCACTCCCGGCTCAGACCATCCAAGCCTGTGATCACATCTTGATGACCAAACCTTAGGAGAAAAGAGGATGAGATTCAATCATGGCCTGTCTATGTTTGAGAACCCAGTATTTCAGTTGGGTATATTGCAAGCTACTGTGTAGGCGCTGACATATTCAACAAATCCTGGCTCTCTGATGGCCAAGTGAATAAAGGGAGAATGGAATGTGTTTCTTTTAAAACTTTTGTAATAAGAACATACTAGCACCCTCATTTATTGTTGCTTCATGCTGATGAGAACCTACAGATTCCTGTCATGATGAACTTGGGCATCTTTCTCCAAGGTGATCACCTCAAAAGTTCCATTGGGACAGCAACTCCATGAATCCCCAGCCAAAAGTCCCCATATTATTTAGAGCAGTGTTTCTCAGCAACATTAAATTGTGTGGACTTCAACTCCCAGAATTCATTTACCCAGCATGCTGGCTAGCAGAATTCTGGGAGTTGAAATCCCTATATCTTAAAGTTGCTAAGATTGAGAAACACTGGCTTAGAGATCCTGAAATTTGAAAGGCCTCTGTTTGGAATACTCTAGTCTTGAGCAATGCTACTACAGCATTAGGGTACGGGTTGATAAGAGTTCCTGTGTAAAAATGAATCACCATATCAATGTTGTTAATGACACATTCATTCTGCTTCCTGTTGTCTCTGATCTTCATAGAATTTAATTTTCATAGATCAGAAACATGCTATGTGCATATCACTAATTCTGTATATATGCCAAAAAACTGTTCCTTACAAGGTTTCCACATATGCATTCTCTGCCACGTTCCATACTTTGACTGAGCGGTCATGGGAGCCACTGTACAACTGGTGAGTGCCTTTGCGGAAAGATAAGCCCTGAAAGGGAGAAATCATGAAGAGAGAAAGAGATAGAATGAGATGGGCCCAAGAGCAGGCAGAATTAATCTTCCATTTCTTTATCACATCCAATCTGATTGACCTAGAGGGAAATGTGGACTTCTCTATTAGAGAGTGACCAACACATACAAAGTACAGATGGAATAAGCTACCATGTACCCTTGTTTAATAAAACAAGATAAAAAATATTTTTGTTACACCATACTCATTATAAATTAAGCAGAGATTTTCATGTTTGTATGGAGGAGAGGATGGTAAAGAGAAGGGATGCAAATTTTTGCATTGATACATTTAACATCGATTCCCCATATTTTTAAAAAATATTTATTTTGCTTTCCCGTGATACAGACAATTTACAAAAGAACAAAATTGTTAAAAAATAATATTATTCTAGAAAAATCTATGCAGCAAAAAGGATTCAAATCATTTTGACTGATGGCTGATTGAGGAGTGCAAGTTGTTTCTACAAATCATTTTCCAGATTGTTGTAAAAAAAAAATTCAACTGTTAAAATTCTTTTTTGAAAGACATAGTAATAGCATCCATAAAAGCATCCCCCTATATCCTGAATGCACTTTATCTATAACTACGAACACCTCTAGAGGCTGTGGTCACTTACCGATACAGTATCACGATGGCCTGTGAACTTATAGAGATGTCCGCAGGTTGCAGCTTCCCAGATCATAATGAGTTTGTTCCTGTCACCTGTGGCCTAGAAGCGACACAGAAAGACCCTGCTCAGTTCTCTCCTCTTCTATCACTTTACACCCACATTCTGTTTAGTAATACAGGTAGTCCTCAACTTATGACCACAATTGAGCCCAAAATTTATGTTGTTAAGTGAGGCATTTGTTAAGTGAGCTTTGTCCCATTTTACGACTTTTGCCAGATTTGTTTAAGTGAATCAAGTGGAATTGTAAAATTAGTAACATGGTTGTTAGATCAATCTGGCTTCCCCATTGACTTTGTTTGTCAGAAGGTTGCAAAAGGGGATCACATGACCCCGGGACACTCCAACCATCATAAAAGTGAGTCAGTTGTCAAACATCCGAATGTAAATCCATGGGGATGCTACAATGGTCATAAGTGTGAAAAATGGTCGTAAAATCACTTTTTTCAGTGCTGTTGAAACTTCAAACGGTCCCTAAATGAACTGTTGAAAGTCGAGGACTACCTGTAATGGGTCTACTGTAACAGAAACACAAGTGTCTCAGCCCTCTGGACACACTTATTTTAATGCCTTAATGCAGAGGTCTCCAAACTTGGCAACTTTAAGACTTGTGGACTTCAACTCCCAGAATTCTCCAGCCAGGGGGGCCCTGCCTTAATGTTTTCCTTACAGTAGCATGACTCAAACACCTCATTCTTTAACTGCCTTTTGAGGTTTTTTTGTTTTTGTTTTTTTGAGAAAGGGAGAAGGGGAGTCCAGCAGGAATAAAGCAATAGAATTGCCTGGAGATTGCCTGTCTATGTGGATAGAGGTGCTTATTATATCCATTGATTAGATTCGGGGAAATTTCCTCAAGATACACAGATCCCACAGCATCGTACAGGGTGGATGTATAACTCATACCAACAGTTAGTTGATATAGGAGGATCTACTGAACATAGCTTAAGGAACTATGAAGAAGAATCTGTCTACTATACTAAAAGATCACCAACCACCACAAAAAAAATATCATTTTTGCAACACAGAGGAGAAATTTGTGTGGAGTTGCTTTCTTTTCCTCAGTGTAGCAGAAGAAAACATTCTTTTTACCAGGAATTTGCCATCTGATGACACAGCCATTGAGATGATGTGTGCAGTATGTCCAACATGGCTGCCCTCTGCCCCCTTTTTTCCTCTATGTATCACATGAAGCTTCTTTCCACTCTCAACATCCCCTGCAAGCATAAAGATGCTCAAGTCAGTTTCAAACATTACAATTCTTTTTTGACACTTAAAAGCAAGCTAGAACATTGACAATTATTTTAGTAAAATCCATAATTTGAGAAAAAAAATAATCTTCATGCTTCAACTGCCTCAAAAACATGAATAAGTGACTCAGGAACTGCACTTCATTCACTTCAACTGCAAATATACTAATGTATAGAAAAGGACTCAAATATGTTAAGTATGATGTTAGTCAGATCCTTGTTCACTCCCTAGACCCAAATTAATTTATTAATAATTACTTCTGCCAATTCCACCTTCCTGGTAACTTTTGTTGAACGTTTGCTATTCACCACACCAAGATCTACTCAAGAATTCAATTTTACAAAAGTGTTCCAAGGGGAGGCCAAGCTAATCACTTCAGAGAAGCCAACCTAACTCCAATATCTCATAAACAAGCTGGCTTGATGCATTGCTCTAAAATCTACACCCCGAGAGATAACTCAATTTTCAGAAGTTTCCAGAGGAGCGGGACATTTAGGGGCAAACCTAATTTCTAAAGGGAAGCTGTTCAATAAAGTGCTACTATTGAGAAGCAGCCTATCTAAGTCACACCTCTCCCCCACCCCACACACATTATTACTATAGTACAGTGGTTAGAGTGCTGTACTGCAGGCCACTTCTGCTGACTATCTGCTGCCTGAAATTTGGCAGTTCAAATCCCACCAGGCTCAAGGTTGACTCAGCCTTCCATCCTTCTGAGGTGGGTAAAATGAGGACCCAGATTGTTAGGGGCAATATGCTGACTCTGTAAAACTGCTTAGAGAGGGCTGTGAAGCATTATAAAGCAGTATGTAAGTCTAAGTGCTATTGCTATTATTGGGGAAGTGACACATCCCCCTCACAGTGGCATAAACCACTTTCCTTAACCGGATTTATCACCCAGAAGTGGCAAAAGTCTTGCACTCGGTATATGGCCCTCATCTTTTCACACACTCTAATCACTTATTCAAGATCTACAAGATGAAGACATTCTTTAAAAATGGGTCAAGAATTTTCCAAAATTACCTATGAGCTACCTCAAATCTATAGCACAATTTGTAGCAGATCTCATCAACCTTGGCTTCAAAGAACGATGCAAACTTATTTGCAGCAGGCCACTGATCACTCCCATCTCCTCCTATCTTGGCATGGAAGAACAATGCCAACTTAGATGCAGACACAGCAGAGACTGATAAATAAATCCTATGCTGAAAGATCAGGGTTCTAAAATGTTTTACTCTGTGTTTATTTATGCCAGCCTGCAACAGTTAGATTGCAGCTTTCTCCCTGGCAGTGATTATTAAATGTTTGCTCCAATCACAAATGTCTACATAGTAGTTAAAATTGGAAGACTGGTTACAAGAATAAGTCAAAAATATCAAATAGCTTTGAAAAACATCAGTGGAAAGGAGCATATTAAGAATAATGCAGCTATTTAAAAAATAGGCTAATTATCATTCTTGGCCATCAGCATTTGGGAGTTGGCTCTCCATTACTCCAGTAGTGATCTATTCAGTTCAGGCAATGTAAATGTGATCCTTTGAACCTGCCATCTTTAGAGAGAAAAAAATCATAATATTTATAGGGTTATAAAAATATAAATTTATACGTTTAGAATACTTTCTTTCATGCCTCTTCTTTCTTATAGTTTATCGTCTTTTGTAGAAAATAAGACTTACATTTGATGATCGAACAGTCCTTGGATGCAGAGAAAATATATTTGTCGTCTGGTGAAATTACTAGGCAGGTGATGGGCAACTGGTGACCTCGTAGTATCTTGATGTCAGATATGTCTGGAGGCTGCAACTATTCAGAGAATACCAGTTACATCAGCATTCCAAACCAAAATTACAAATGAAAAAAATTACAGCATACCAACTTACTCAGTGCTGACATACCACTGAAGTTGAAGACACAGTGTTAACTAAAATCTTATTGCCTGGTTTTCAACCACTGTGCCTCACCTCAGAGGTAGGATCTATTTAATTGGTCTACCACACATGGCTAACAGATCCTGTCAGCTTTCTGAGAGAGCTAAGGGTTGCTGGGCCTTAATCACAACCTCAGCCTTGAATTACACTGCATTTGGCAGCCTCTCCCTGTTTGTGAATCCCTGGGAGCCCTCATTTTCAGAGGAACTCTGGAAGATAAAATAGTAGAAGGGATGCCTGGAGTGCTGCTGGAGGACAACAGGAGAATTTAGCCAATGTGTGTAAAGGTGTCTAAGTCTCTAGGATCACTTATATATTAGATCCATGAGTCTTTGGGGGAAAATATGTGATGGGTCAAAACAGAATTCATCCGTTTCAGGAAGGTGGAACCTCCTGCACTGAAGAAGGTAATGGACTGTCTTCTCCTCACAAAACCATTGCTACCTACAATGCTATTGAATAATTTTTGTCTACACTTTAATTTTTTTTTTGGCTTCTGAGAAGAATATTGTACTATAGTTTCAGAGGAAATGGGTTATCTCAACTTTCTTCAGTCTGGTTTCAGAATTGGATACTGCAGTGAGATGGCTTTGATCGCATTTGAGGATGAATTTTGATGGGATCAGAATGGTAATGGTACATCCGATCTGCTGCTTCTTTAACTCTCTGCAGCCTTTGTTGCTATAAATCATGGTATCTTTCCAGACTAGCTCAGGGTAGGAGTGAGAATGGGGGCATAATACTGCAGTGGTTTTCATTCCTCTAGAGAAGATTCCAGTTGGTGTTAGTGAGGAAGAGAGGCCCTCACTTCTGTTTTGCAGGGTTCCTCAAAACTTTCTCTGCATTCATATTTAATATATACATAAAGCTACTGAGCCTATCCACCAGCTCAGGGTTAGATATCAACTGTATGCCTTTGAAAATGACTCAGAAATTGCAATTGATCCAGAATGTGCTGGGGTGGGTAGTTTTGGGCACACCATGGTATGCCTCACTATTTTGGACACAACACGCCACTGTTCTAAGAGCTGCAGTGGCTTCTAGGAAATTATGGAGGCAATTCAAAATGTTGGTTATCACCTAAAAGCCTGCATGGCAGAAAGTCAGTTTATCTGACCACTCTCTTCTGTTATTTCCCTCTGCCCCACCGGATGGGCTTCTTTGTCCCTTGTATTACACAATGTCATCTGTTGTGCTCCTCTATTGCGGCCCCTGTTTTGTACCATGGCAGTTAACCTTTAAGATCTAGATAGCTTTTACCATGCCAGGCATTCAAGACTTGGCAGGCACTGAATATTTGCCATGGCATTGAAGATTCAGGGATTGTCCAAAGGAAATTAGATGAGCTCATCTTTATTTTTAAATTACCACATAAACATATGAATGGCCTCAGGCACAAAGTGTTCTAGCGGTTTTTTGCTTTTGTTTGTGGCTTTTAATTCAATGTTAACTGCCCAGAGTTGGGTGTAAGAATAAACATTTTAAATAAAATAATTCTGTCCCCAAGGAAAGAACATATAAAAAACAGGAAAATCCTGCAACAATCTCAAATAATAAAAGGCTCCATAAACTAATGCATTGGCAGTTACACCACATGTACCATACATAGTTCAAGGAAAAGAGTAATAGGTGCTTTGAAATTCTGCAGTTGTGAAAAAAAAGTTTCTACTTACACTGTTGGCAATTTGTCTTTGCAATTTTCCTTTCTGTTCAAGCTATGGGGGACAAATAAAATAGAATTAGATTGACTCTTTTTACCTTCTTCGCATAATACATAAATTAGGAAAAAGTATATGGATCACATTCTTATACCCACATATAGCTAAATATTAAGTTGCATTAATTTCCTTAAAATGACCTTAAATTCTTCTATATGGATTTCAAGAGTGATCACAATCTCTTTTCAATTTTGACAAAAAAATCAATATGTAAATGGCAAATTTTTGAGATATTCACATTTAAGAACTTCAACTTATACTTCTATCAAACTGACACTGAATATCAGACTTATTACTACCTTATTGGCTTATGACTGAAAGGAAGAAAAGCAGAAACCAGTTTCCAAGAATTTGATGGAGAAAGCCCATTAAAAAGTCACTTCTCCAAAATTACTCAGCTTTTTTCAACCTGAATTTTCTTCAGAACGAGTACAAATTGTGATTGTGGATGTAAAAAGAAGTCACACTACAAGTTATCAGATTACAAATGCCAGAGAAGTCACTATATCTTTAAAGTAAAGCTGAATTTTGAGAAAGGATTTAATTCACAAGAAAAAGGAAACTCCCCTACAATCCCTTTGATTGTACAATTTCCCTGTCAAGCCATTGACTTTATGTCTAAAAGCCCTCATACTCTTTTTGCCACTTAAACATGGACTATGGTTAAACAAACAGGCATGCCTGTGTTCTGTATATTATTAATCTCTTTCTCTATGTAGGAGAGTGACTGTGATTTATAAAAGCAATACCCACACTCCACTAGAATTGAGCCTGACAAGGCCTGAAGCATGGGGAACAATGAAGTCCACTACTCTCCAGTGAGAAGATACTATTTACTTCATGACAAAAGGTGCTGTTTAAGCTTTCTAATGCCCAATTCAAGATAGGTAGAGGCACCAATTTCTTTCCAGTCTGCTACCTCATGTTCTACTTACCACATCTTCCTTTAATCGGCCAGCAACCAGGTCTTTCTCAAAAGCCTCTTGTTCAGCCTTTTCTTCTTCTACCAGAGGCAAAAAATCAGAGACATAGCTATGTTTACTTAATCAAAGAATCCAATCTGAAATCAATTTCAAATCCTGAAGATCCTTCATTGAAACAAATGCCCAGAACCAATCAGCTACCCAACAGGATGAGGGTTTTTCATCCCAAAGTATTTTGGTATCTCCAATAAGTGGACAAATTAATTTTAAAAACACATATTAAATTTCCCAAGTGATTAATTTTGGGAAATGGTTGTGATGTCTATGCCTTCTTTGCACAAAGGAATAGATTTTTTAAAAATCTCCACACTTCTCAAGATTAATTCACAGCCATCTTTGCTGACACTGAACTTTTCAAAGAGTTGAAAAGTTAAATAAGCAAATAAAAGTTCACAACAGGCTAAGTAATTTATATAATTACTGTACTGCTAATTTTATATATAGGGAAACAACAGGCTTCAACTTAACCCTGGCAAAACTGAGTGGCTTCGGGTCTTGGGACCACCAGGATCTGGGCATTAACCATCTTTAGTTCTGGATGGGTGACATTGCCCAATAGTACCACCTGGAAATTCTTTTGGACTCACAACTCCTGCTCAAATGAGCAAGTGGCAATCATAGATAGGTTGGCTTTTGTGCAATTGTATCTATTTCTGGATCAGGAGGCCCAATGCTCAGTAACTCCTGCCCTAATAAGAGTTGAACAGGATTTTGGAGGTCTTCCAGTACAATCCCTTGCTCAAGCAGGAGACCCGGTGTTGAGGTAATTCCCCGTTAGGAGAATGAGCGCACACAGGGAGACATAGTGAGAATAGTGAAGAATAACATACAACCAGCACACAGATACACTGTATAGTAAAATGTAGGTTTTTACTTCCAGTAAAACGGTTAAGCAAAGTTCAACAAACAGTCCAAGTCATTCACGGTTAAAGCAGTCAGTTTTCAGTCCAGGAATAATCCAATAACAAAGTTCAGTATCATAAACAGTTCAGTAACAGACTTACATCAAATCCGCCTCAACCCAATCACACCTATCCATCCCATCAGAAATGGTATGTGGTAGGTGCAAAGTCATCTGATCTAATGGGACCTAGGAGGAGAGCCTTTTCTTCTGACGTGCCCACCCTTTTGAACATCCTCTCCTCAGAGCGTGAGATTAGCTGTGATCCCCCTGGCCTTCTGAAGATACGGCTTTGTCATCTGATCTGAGGATCTGATGACATTGGTGGAGAACTTGCTAATAAGTTGCACATTTATGATGCGCTCCTGCTGATTATGTTTTAACAGTTTCATTGTTTTTAATGTTTTTATTTCTGTGGTTATTTTTTGTTGATTTTTTTATTTTTAAAATTTTTTTATAAGCTGCCCGTAGTCACAATAGTGAGATGGGAGGTTATATAAATGTAATAGATTTAACAGGTAGATAGACAGAAAGACTGGTTTCATTTCATATATTAAGAATTTTAATCTGATTGTTTAAGAGTCCAAATAAATCAAATCTAGTTTCCCCTCACCTTGTTGGCGAAGCTGCTCCAAATATAATTTTGCTAATCTCAGTTTCTTCTCTTGTGGAGTCTCTTCAATTTCTTCTTCTGCTTCATTTTTATTTTCTGAGCTATAGGCAGAAAAGAAACAACTTATACAGGAATACTTTATATCACGCAACAATTATCCATCAACAAGAGAAAATTACTGTTCAATTCCCTCAAAGAAAATACTTGTCATTTGTCCCAATTTTATGCAATTTGTGGCGCCTTATTTATTTTATGCAATTTGCAGTACCAATATTACATGTTATGAGATTCCTAAAGTACAGACCTTTGGGGCCATTAGTTGATGCCACAAAGAACTGTATTTCAGGAATCTCACCACTTGTCATATAATCATGAGATCTCATAACACGATTCTCTCATCATGAGCTTCATGCAACCATCTCCACAGGAAGTTCCCACGCAAGTTCCTAAATTTTATGACATGAGCTTTTTAATTAGAAAAGAAAAATACCAAGGCACTTTGACATATCCTTACACATCTGGTTCAGAATCACTAGAAATCTCTTCATTCAACTTGGAGCCAGCCTTTTGCCAAACCTTTTCTTCGCCAGCAGGGACCTGGGAAGTAAAAAACTTATTTAAGATCAAAACTGATTAAATAAATGCTTTCACTCAGTTATTGAAAAGCTGAAGAAGCAGGAATAAACAGGCTCAAATATGCCCATTTTGATTAATGCAATCCTCACCATCAGCAGAGCATAGGCAGCAGAAGTTGATGCATTTGCTAATCATTCTATATCTATTTTATGCATGGTTTATTTTCGCCATTCATCACATTCAGTAACCACCTCAACTTCAAATTTGTCCAAACTACTTCATAATTCAACCCTACTATTTTCATTCTAGACTTTTTTTTTTTAAATCAACAAACATGCACTACACTTTCTGACATCCATTCGTTTCCTGTAACAGGATTAGTAGTTTCTTTTCCCGAAGTTCTGCTATAACTCGTTTGCTTTCACTAACTTTTCTTCCCGTGACCTCTTCGCTCCCCTTCAATCGGTCGCCTAGCTGCCTTCCCTCCCATTTTCCCTGCACTGACCTTTCGCCTCTTGCGCCCAGCCGCCGCGGCCGAAGCAGAAGCTCCTCGCTGTCTTTGCTGTCTCTTTTTGGGTCCTGGCGCCGCCATGCCGCTTCAGTTTCTCTGGCGAATGCTTCCTACACGTGGCACCCTGAGCCAACCTCCGGCGCTTTCCCATTGGACGAAACTGCTTCCGGCCTTCCCCATTGGCTGGCATTCTTCCGAAAAGGCCCTTCTGCCTCTTCCCTCTCGTTGGTTCAAAGGAATGGAGCTTGTTCAGCTCCATGATTACTTCCGAGACAGCGGTAGGACGAGGATGCCCGGGAGAGCTTCGAAGGCGCTGGGTGGGAAGGTTGGAGATGCTGAAGGGGATGCCGACTAGGGAGAGGCAGCTCTTGTCCAGGGTTTGGAGCCGTCCCTACGCAGTCGGGCACGGATTGTGCTGCGTCAGGACAGAAGCGAGGACTGCTGAATGCAGAAACCCCAGAAGCGACGCCGGAGGGTTGTGGCTATATATTAAGTTGCCCACAAAATTACACAGGATAAATAAAGTAGGGTGGAGTAGAATAGAAAATAAAATAGGAAATGGGAGGATAGGCTAGGAGAATGAATAGAGAAAGAATAGAATAAGGAATAGAATAGAATAGAATAGAATAGAATAGAATAGAATAGAATAGAATAGAATAGAGCAGAGTTGGAAGGGTTCTTGTAGGTCATCTAGTCCAACCCCCTCCTCAAGCCGGGGACCATTTCTGACAGATGGCTGTCCAGTGTCTTCTTGAAAGCTTCCAATGACGAAGCAACCTGTTCCATTGGTTTGATTGTTGTCGCTGTCAGAAAATGTCTCCTCCAAGAAAAACTTTCTCGGGCATCGGGTATTTCCCGCTTGCATTAACTCGACGTATTTAAAAGTTCCCTCTTCGCTTTCTGGACGTGTAATAAAATGTGAATAAGCCCCAGGTTTCCCGAAAGATCGTGACCCGGCATCATTCATTCCTCTGCGTTAATCCAAATTGAGGCAGTGAAAGCAGGAGAAGGATGCTGTCTCCTTGTCATCGTGGACCTGTCTCCGCAGCGGGTCTTCCCTTTCAATCGGACCATTGGTGACCTGATCCCTCTCGCGTTTCGACCGGGGCTAGTTCAGCGCTTCCTCCGCGGCTAGCGGAGAGGAGAGAGGGAGGCGGGTTGCCCGCCCTTTCCTTGCCGCTGGACAGGCCTGGCATTCCCCCCAGAGAGGCGTGTTGTCATTGCTGCGCCGTAAAAAGCTGAACTCACCCGGCAGGAGGGGCGGAACCGAAGCAGCGGCACTCCCTGACGACCTCAGGCTTGTCCGGGCTTGTTTTGTTTGCCTGCTCGGTGCTGGCGTTTGGGACCTCCGGGCAACGAGAGCCCCCCTTCATTCCGGTGAGTTTGTATTCCAAGCAAGGAGAAGGTGGGCTTTAAAAATAGACCGCACTTTAACTTTGTTTTGTTTCCAAAGGAGGGAACCGTGAAAGATGAACAGCCGCCCTGATTCGTTGTTCTGGGATGAATTTGTCAATAAAGCGATGTTAGGGTCTCCCAAACAATGTCAAACGTGGCAGGAGTCGCCATACAAAACGAGATTTGGTGTTGCTCCTGGTATTAGGGGATGGAATAGGGGAGCGTTCATACTACTGAAGCTAACTCCGAAAGGCTTAGAGCCCCTACACAACTTTTAGACAAAACACACTTCAATCCGGTTTATAAGCAGTTATAAGTTATACCTAGTTATCTATGACAATTTTGATGCCTTCTACAGCTGCAGGCTACTAACAATTCCCATCCTCCTTGGCCACTCTCATGGTAGCAGAAAATCACAGGAGCTAAAAGTTAATCTAGTAGGGAGGTTTCGTCAATAGGAAAAGACTGAAACACCAAAGTATGTAGACTAGGAAATGGCTGGTTTTTATTTTGCTTCTCCTGCTCCCTCTCCTGCAGACTTGGAGTACCTCATTGGCTAGTAAAATAAGTGAGTGGTTGTGAGTGGTTGTAACTTACCTGCCATTAATGACTGACCTCTCAGTGAGAATTTATTTGCCATGGAGATTTCCCCATTGGAAGGTAATGAATAGAAGCCAACATGCACACCTTTTAAGTTGTATTTTTCCTTGAAAAACCAGCTGGCACATTATTATTGCTATTTGTCTATGTCATCCAGGTCATGGTTGTCCCAAAGGTGCTTTTACAAAAGGCAACTGGACTTTCTGGTTTTACTTTGAAGACATTTATCTTCTCATTCAAGAAGCTTTTTCAGCTCTGACTGGATGGTGGGGAAGGGAAGGATTTATACTGCTTGCAGACTGCTGGTCATTTGCATCCTATTAGCAAGTTGTTGAGGCCACCTGGAAGTTTATGTGTATCATCAGGGTCACCTGAGTAATACAAATGGGTGTGGAGTCTTCTTGGAATTGTTGAAAGGACTGTATTGTAGACTGGAGATAGGTGATGTTGTAGACTGGAGATACATGATGTCGCATCCCTCTTCCTCTGTTGAGAGAGGAGAGGGCTGTTCAATTTTGACATAGATGTCCTCTTTGACCCCTCTTTCAAACCAGCAGTCCTCTCTGTCCAAGATGTGGACAGAGTCCACACAGTCCAGATGACTCTAATGAAAAAAGCACCTTTGAGATATTATTGCTATTATTTTCACAAGAGTCCCGATGCTTTCGTATATTCTCACCCATGGAATGTGTGAGAATATATATTTCATATATTTTTATGAATGATTGGATGCATTTGTTCACATGTTTAGGTACATACATGAATACTTTTGTGCCACTCTGTTACTTGCACAGTCCACAGAAAAGTATTGGATCATTCTGGGCAGACCTTATCTGGTCATTTCAATATATTGTAGCATCTTTATTTGGAAAAGTTTATATTTTGGTTTCTTTCTTGTGCCTTATCATCCTTTTCAAAATCCTCTATTGTACATGTTCCCTTGATCATTTTAAGATTCTTCCTTCTGTTTCATCATTTTTCATCAGCTACCTTTTAATTTTTTTGTACAACTTTGAAATGAATAGGTCACTTTCCTAATTGAAGAATCCCTTTCCCATTCTACCAAGAGAAAGCCTGATACAGACTGGTTTCTACAGATAGATCACCTTTGGCTATGGAGGTCTCACTGGGTGATTTTAGGCCAGTCACCCTCTCAGAGCTCAGTCTATTTCATATGGATGTTGTAATAGGGAAAAATGGAGGTAGCAATGCTATATATGATCTCTTGAGTGTAGGTTTAACTGTCAATGGTCAAAGAATCGGCACATCGACTTGACCAGAGACTCTGACCTTTCTCTGACCTATTAGCTAACCTTTTCTCTGTTCTATTTTGTGCTACACTGAAAGGCTGGGGGTTTTCGTTTAGATTCAGAAGCTATGCTATTCTAATAACAGGAAACTAGCAGGGTGTCAACGTTATGCCTCAATTCATCCAGCTGCACATTTCTTAGCTAACTTTGTATTAGCCAATTACTTATTGTTACTATGCTGTAATCCCTGGGGTAAACAAATCATTGAACTGTATATCCAAATACATTGCTTCTTTAGAATATATAATAAAGACAGTGATCCAGGGAAAGGAGGAACTTCTACACTGACAGAAAGATCTTCTGACCTCAGACACGGGTATTAAAAAATCATGTGTATGTGTCTTTAATTGCAACGCCTGATTGCAACACTTGAGCTCTCGAATTAAAACATTGGTGTCAAACACGCCGCATCACATTGCTGTCACGTGGCGTATCATGACATTTTTTTCCTTTCGCTGAGCTGGGGTGGGCATGGTCTCTGTGTCAGGCTTCAACAACGCTGCCGACGGAATGAAGCCCAACACGTCATCATGGTTGGGGGAGAGTTGCCTACCTTGGCAGTCCCAAGTCGATGACAGCTGACGAAGCCAGGAGCAACCTCCTCTCCCTACTTCGGTGCGACCGACTGGGAAACTGCCTTGTCAGCTGTTCGGCGTTTTGCGACTCTCTCAGCACAATGCCTCTCCCTCTTCTCAGCGCGACCAGCCAGGAAACATTTCGGGATATAGTATCGGCTAGTCAGCATTTCATATGGGGGATATCGGGTGGATCGGGGTGGAAGGACACCCGGGGAGTGGGGAGGTGTTATCTGGGGATTTGCAATGTGGTTAGAATTAGAGTTGGGTGGTGGCGCACGAGATTGCTGTAGATGGATGTTGGGTGTTTGCTAGGGGCGGATGTTAGCTAATTATTGGGGGTGGACAGGGATTATAAAAAGCGCTGAGAGGCAGACGCTCTCAGCGCTGGCTTTACTTGGACTTTCTGTTTGTTGCTGCTGTTGGAGGAAGCCAAAATAAACACACATTGCTACATCAAGACTGTGAGTAAAGTGTTTTATTGAACCAGTTTCAGCGACCTCCCGTAGGAGCTGACAGGAAGCCAGCGCTCATTACTATTTACTCCATTGGTAAGACACCATGGCAGAAGGTAAAGACCCTGATTTTTTGGAGGAAGAGGGTTGCGAGGAGGTTGAAGAGAGTGGTGAGCGGAGACAGGACTGTGAGGATATGGGGGAGAAGATGGAGGATATCCCGCCGGCAGCGTAGCCAGCCATGCAGCCAAAAGTGCATTTGAGTGAACGGAGTTATGCTCCAAAAGGGCTTCCCCAAACGGAACGAACATTGGACTGGAAAGTGAAATGGTGGTCTGGAGCAAAAGACAGCCAGTGGATGGTTCCACGTAGTGATATGTTGGAACTTTTATGTGAGCAGTTTGGGGAGATGACATTGAGAGGGTTGACAGATAGAGGTTCTTTGGGTCGTAAACAAGCATTAACTCCTGATAGTTCCTTGAGCACACCTAGATTAATCGGATTCCGAGAATCTGACGTAGGAAGAGGGTTAGAACGGTCGGATTTGCACACCAGAGGATTGGATGAGAGAAGTGTGGGGCCCGAAAGTTATTCCATGAGATCTGGCTCTATAGAAAGATGAGATATGGAGTATGGGCCTCATTGGGGAGGGCAGACACAAAGAAGATGGGGCCACCTCCCCTGGCTGCTACTTTTGATGGGTCTGCACAAAAAATAGTTGTATTTCTGGGTCAGGTATTGAATCATTTTGACTTATATGGTCAATGTTATCCATCCACTTGGTCGATGATTATTGCAATCACTGGAGTACTGGTGGGGGAGGCGTACAAGTGGGCAGCTGATTTGTTTCACACTAGGGCAGAG